TGATACAAATATTGACAATATTATTGATCGTCTAGGGGCCGCTTTACTCTATTTCCAAAACCTATTAGCAGTTTTTGAATCATGACGGACACCGCAGTTGCTGCAGTTTCATCACCCGCTCAAGTCGCTACCAAGGCTGCGCCTAAAAAGAAAGTAGCATCCAAAGCCAAACCTGCATCTTCTCATCCGACTACTGCTGTTATGGTTACCACGGCCATCAAAGAACTCAAGGATAAAAAAGGTTCGTCACTACAAGGCATCAAAAAGTACATGGCCGCTAACTACAAAGTGGATTCGGCCAAACTCGCTCCGTTTATTCGCAAATTTTTAAAAGCCGCTGTCGCAAAGGGACTCTTGGTGCAAACCAACGGTTCAGGCGCATCGGGTCATTTCAAAATGGCCGCGGAAATAAAAAAATCCGTTCCGAAGAAGAAGGTCGTTGCCAAGAAGCCAGCTGCTAAAAAGGCGCCTGTTACAGCAGCCAAAAAGAGGAAATCGGTGGTGAAAAAGTCTAAGGCAGAACCGGCTGCGAAAAAGACCAAGAAAGAAGTAGCTGTTCCCAAGGCGAAGGCCGTGAAACCTCCTAAGTCCCCGGCCAAAGCAAAAAAGGCTCCTGCTACCAAGGCCAAAAAGACTCCGGTGAAGAAAACTGCACCCAAAAAAAAGTAAATCACAAGTGTTTAAACGAATTCTCTCTCTAAAACGGTCCTTTTCAGGACCACCAATTATTTTATTAATTTAATAGTAACGGCCGAAAAAAAGTGGTGAGCTGTTTGCTATTTACCCCCCCCCCCCCCCAACCACCTTAACTGACTATATCTATTTATCAACTGTTATTGAAACTTTCAATTCCATTAGATAAATTAATTTTATAATGGTGTTACCGAAAGATAGTTCAAAATAATCGATACATGTTTCACATACCATAGACGAGAAATGATCGTTGTTATAACAATTAAGTACTGATTCAAAAATGCTCACTACATCAGTACATTTTTTATTATAGTCACACGCCCGGCAACCGTTGTATAATGTCAATTCGTTACCAATCGACGACCGTCGGTACTCGCCAGATTGGATCGGTATTAGTAATTTAACCGGATTCGGTAGTCGGTACTGTTATGAACTCGATCACAACAAATTAAAAAAATTAATAGCAAAATGACAAACGACAATATCACACATTAGCTGTGGAAATACGACTGACTGACCTCTATGTTTGTCGTGAGACGTGTGTTGAGTAGTGTAAAATTGTATGTAAGCATTTCTTACTGTTGCGACGCGATGACAACACAAAATCATAATGCTCTGTTTTCGAACAACGTTATTACAAATATTCAGAGGTTCATGACAGTACCTACTGCTACTACCGTTTCAAAGAAACATTATCATATTCTGTTTGATTAATCGTTGAAAGTCTATCGTATGTTTATACTTCAACAATTTTTAAATTTAATCGTTGTTTAAATTTGATTATAGTTACTAAAAATTACTATTTAAAGACATTTGCATTTCTGTATTTTTCACTATTATCCTACTGCGTCTTAATATCCATATTTCCTACATTGTTTAATCTTTTTTACATTTATAGTCTTACGTTTCACAGAATTAAAATGGTAAGTGTTAACAAAATGAATTAATTTTATAATACTAAATAATTTTTTTCGAATATTATATTATATTATATTATAACTAGTAGATATTATGAAATATGATTTGTGTTTTACAATTAAATAATTTTAGGCTCATTCGGAGAGTGATAAAAAACCATCGGGAAAAATTGATTCTTTTCTTTTTACCTACGTTAAAAAAAAAACAAAAAATAAATGTATAAATGTAAATGTAATAAAATAAATTTTAAAATATACATATAGATAATAATATTATGTTGTAAATATATTTTTATTCCTGTAACCACCCCCATAAAGTCATTCTGGATACGCCACTGGTTATCGCAACGTTAAGGTATGACATAATATTACGATTGACACAGCCATCGACGGTACAAAATAATTTTAATTTGAAAATAACTATTAAATAATATATATAGTTATAATTTTTAATTTGATATAAAATTATTGGTGACCCTCAGGTTACACACCACTGCACTAGAGTATACGCGTAAGTGATTAAATGAAATAAAACAATATTTACGGGACTGCGTTAGCTATTATCTAATTTATATGTATTATATGTTCAGCTAAGTTGGTAGGCTAAAAATCCTGTTTCATTATAAACAATTATAAATTTAAAACGAAATTACATATTAGAGATGTGTAGCTCATGAGCTAGTTGACTCTTAAAAATGAACTGGACGAGTCGAATCAGTGTTACAAGATTTAGCGACTCACTGACTCAGTTACACTATTGATTCACAATTCACAACCAGGGACTGGAACCTATAGGTTTTTTCTGTTACTATTTCGGTTTTGGTTGTTCAATTAATTTTTTAAGGGTCCTGATTTTTTAAAAGAGTAAGGGTTCTAGAATTTATTAAAAAATAATATGAAATTATTTATTTATTCTTGTTTAAATTGTAATCGTTTCATTTCATGAAAATAGAAGGTATTATGAATAGTTAAAAAAAAAAAAAAAAATTACAAATATATTAAATATATATATTATATCAGTCTATTATATTTCTTTCAGCTAGGTTAAGTTATCTTATTCCAACTCATAGTAGAAATTTATAAAATATTTTATGATATTGTGAAATATTATGATTTGATGAAATAATAGATATCTTTAATTTAAAATTGAATTTTAATTATGAATCAAAGTTAATACTGGCTACTGTTGTGCTACAAACTTTTTATAAACATGAATTATATTTAATACTTAATAGACAAGATAAATAATATGCTTATTGAAAATTGTAATATATTAATAAACATATTAAAATAATAATGATATTACAAATTTACTTATTATATGCATTACACTATTAGAGTTTACAACACAAAATAATAAAAACATACGAATATAAAGATTTAACTTTTATTTTTCTGAACAAACAAAATAGTCATTACAATAGTTTTACTAGTCTAAATAACTGACCTAAATTAACCCTTTTATAATTAAGGTTATGGTTTTTCATTTTTGGAAATAAAGGTTCCAGTTCCTAAATTTTAAAGGTTAACCGATTCCAGTACCGGTTCTGGTCCCTGCTCACAACTGTACTACTGTAGATACACGACTCTCGACTCTCTTGTAACGGTTTGCGAATCCAAACGGAAAACGTAATGCCAACTTAAACAATAGTTCACAATGGTGCAAGATTAATACATCGTAAATAGTTCAGTAAATCATACAACAATGTGATGTCGTCCATGGCCCATTGACAGCACAGATAAGAAAAGAAAACGTAATTTGTGGACTGTAATCATAAACCGCGGCAGCGTGATACCGTGACCATATCAATATTTTCATTGTTTCTTAAAACATGGTTTCCGACTTTCTGAGAAAAATTCGTAACGTATGCGATAAGCCATTCACGAATATGGACTATGAACTTGAGGTCGAATAAAGACTCGAAACTTTAAGAGTTGATTGAGTTACTCTGCTGTTGTAGTGGTAATCCGATTCAAACAAACATTTGAAGAGTTGGGGGAGTCGATTCTTTGATTCAACTCATTTATTCGAGTAAAATATTCAGAAGCTCAACAAAATGAGTTAGAAAGTCCAATTCCCTATTATATGTGTATTATCATATGGTGGCCCTGAAAAGGGCCTTTTTTAATGATTCACGATGATTTGATCATACAATTTATTTAGAGCTCGTGTATTTGGTCACAGCTTTGGTTCCTTCACTCACCGCGTGCTTGGCCAATTCACCGGGCAACAAGAGACGAACGGCTGTTTGGATTTCCCGACTGGTGATGGTGGAACGCTTGTTGTAGTGAGCCAAACGACTGGATTCGGCGGCGATGCGCTCGAAAATGTCGTTGACGAAGCTGTTCATGATGCTCATCGCCTTGGAGGAAACACCGGTGTCGGGGTGCACTTGCTTCAACACCTTGTAGATGTAGATAGCGTAAGATTCCTTCCTTTTCGGCTTGCGTTTCTTATCCGACTTGGTAATGTTCTTTTGCGCCTTACCGGACTTCTTCATTGCTTTACCAGCTGATTTACCTCCAGGAGCCATTTCGGATGATTGGTTACTGAACAGTGTACGATGCGATTAAAATAAGACGTGTGTACATGTGACATATTTGCACACGGTATTTATAACGAAATCCCGTGTAACTGGTTCATTTGATTGATCGATATTAATATTTTATGAGTACTTAAAGTATGTGTTTTTCGTTACCATTTCAGTATAGAAAAATGTATTCTTGTAAATTTAATTTTTCTGTAAACACACATATTTATTGGTTAAATAATAGGTTAAATATGTGATTTTAAGTTGTTATATTTTTATAAGCATTATCCAATTGTAATCGTTTTGAAGGTACGCAATATGTATATAATCGCAATTTTCTGTTTTACAATGGTATCATTCGTCTATTCTTTTCAATAACGTTACATTTAAAACCACAGCAATCATGAGCGGAAGAGGCAAAGGCAAAGCAAAGGGAATCAAATCGAAGACTAGGTCGTCTCGTGCTGGACTTCAGTTCCCCGTCGGACGTATCCATCGTTTGTTGAGGAAAGGAAACTACGCTGAACGTGTCGGCGCCGGTGCCCCGGTGTACTTGGCTGCCGTCATGGAATATTTGGCTGCTGAAGTTCTTGAATTGGCTGGTAACGCTGCCCGTGACAACAAAAAGACTCGTATCATCCCGAGACATCTGCAATTGGCAATCAGGAACGACGAGGAGTTGAACAAACTGTTGTCCGGAGTGACCATCGCCCAAGGTGGTGTGTTGCCCAACATCCAAGCCGTCCTTTTGCCCAAAAAGACGGAAAAGAAGGTTTAATCTGTCTGTCACATCATCATCATCATCTCTCTTTCTAAAAAGGCCCTTTTTAGGGCCACCAATTTTTATAAAAATATTATATATTACCTACCATACTCTCTAATTAATGTTTAGAGGAAACCCGATTGATTTAGCCGTAATTCGAATTTACGAATTCGCTTGAACGGCGCGACGATAACAGTTGTTAAGATTCATCAAACGAAAGAAACATTTATAGTTTGATTTTTATATTTTACTTTATATATCGGTTTCGAGCATGTGTAATATGAATGGATAAAATATTATATAAAGTTGTGATCAAAAAGAAATTGCGAGAACTGCTAGCGGCATAATTTGAAATGACCTTTTAAAAAATTGACAGGTTTTTTTTTTTAAATCGTTTACCCCCGAATCACGTAAAAAGCATTCTGAACTTTGTGTTACGAATTTTTAGGTTTCCAGTTGCATGGGTCTTGTTCGTTGAGCTCAAAGTACTTCGAAATAAGTTAAAAAGTAACTCTTGGATATTTATTTTTAATTTCTAATACTTCGATTAATCAAGAGACCACCTTCATTATTCGAAAATGATTACTCGAAGTCGGTTTAAAAGCATCACACACGAGTCAGCGAGAACATTTATTGTAACAGATTGTCAAAAATAATCACTTTCCAGCCGATAGCAAGTCATACAATTATGTAATATTAACACCGGTCTACATCTTTTAACACCGATGTC